GAATTAAAAAAAAAATAAAAATCATCGAGTTTTTAAATTAAGTCATAGATGCTTCGGAGGAAATGATATTGAAATTACTTTAATACATTAAATTTTCTTATATAACTTACTTTGTAAGCGAAATATTTTGTTTCTTTTTATAGAAATGTAATTCATACACACATGTTATATATGAAAATAATTATTATTTTGATTCCCGGTCATTTTTTTCCTAAATTAAAACAGAATGTAGAAATTCCCTGGAAGGGTTCCCGCAGCGGAAAGCCCCCGTTTTTTTGGTCCGGGCCCCTTTTTTTCAACAAGCAAATTTCACTTTTTAGGAAAATTTGGGGTATCAATCTTTAAGGCACGAAAAAAATTTTTTGGGCTAGGGGTCGGGCCACATACTTTCAAAAGCCGTCGGTAATAATTACGCCCTTTAAATCTACTTGTATGATGAACGATGCAAGTACGGTGCTGGACGGACTTTAGCCACAGGTTGCGGTCTTGATGGAATATTTTACGTTATTGGCAGAAACAAAATCCTGACCACGCGATGCCAAAGCTTTTAACACAACGGGATCTCCTGTAACACATTATGTTGTTATTTTGCCTTACAGCGACGAGCACTGTTATAAGAAAGTAGTTATATTTTCTCATCCGTAAATGACTTAATTTTGACAGGTCTTACTAAGTTTTTCTTCCAGCGTTCTTTTAACAAATGAAAGAAATACGTCGACAAGATATTAATAGAGACGTGTCAAAGCAGTCCGCTGTTGTTTTTTATCAGAACAGAACAGAATAGAGATGCTCTGCTGTTTTTATCGACAGTATAAAAATTTGCTTCAAATATCTTACTACTGCTTGTAATAAAATTCCCAATCTCCCAATTATAAATATCTTAATCATATATTAATCTTTTAATCTGAACAAAACCATTTATTTAATTTAGGGAAACATTTCAAAATATGAAATGACTGAATAGCGAGCATAATGTCTAACATTGTCTGCACTTGTCGCATGGATAGAACCAGTTGACGCCGACTAGTTTACAAACCCTCTTTAGACTATACTTCTCCGTGCAGACCAGTAAGATTCCAGTAACCTTAATATTTAAATTTTCAGATTGAAATTATTTTGAATTATTACTGAAGTGAGAAGTTTTTAATAAAACATTTTTTTTTTTAAATCTGTACAATTCATCGAATTTATTTCAAACTAATATATTGTTTGTCTTCCTATTTAAAATCAACGTCACTGAGTTTTCATAGTCGTATAATTAATGCTTAGTTTGAAATTACGCAAATATACAAGTCATGACATTATATCAGCAGTAATTCAGATAGCTTTTAACATTTAATGAGTTTTAGAAAATATAAATGAATATTAATATATATAAAAATGTTATTGCGACACGACAATACAAAAGAAAATGGCATATAAGATAAAGGAAAACTTTTTTACATGCAGCACGAATTTTTATATCAGGACATAAATAATGACTTTTTTCGTAAAACTAAAAGCTAATTAGTTAGATGCTGCCAGTTAAAAGTTCGAGACACTGACCTTAACTTTCATTCTTTTGACAGACTAATTGCCAGGACAAACTCGTTAAGATTTCACCACGAAATTAATTAGTGCCACTTTCAGCCGCCCGCAGTGAACAGCGAATAATTCAAAAGTTGAAAAATGGCTTTCCGCAGTACAGTCCCCGTTCATTGATGACAGTGTTTTGTTTTGTATAAACAAGAAGTTGCAATAATTCATGTTACCATAGCAATAAATGCAGGGTGAAGGTGATATTTAGTTATTAGTTTAAGCAATTTTATAATTGATGGTGTAAAATGCACATAAGAGATTTTTAAATGAGTTTTGCAGATTGCTGTGCAAAATTCATATTAGCTGAGTTGACCCAAAGACCAATTAAGTTCCTGGAGTTAATGTCCTGAAAAATAATGTAACGATCTTTAAGAAAAGTTAACATATGATTTGTTTTAAGAACAGTTAACATTTACATATAAATAAATTATACAGTTGATTTTTAGCTATCAAATGATAAAAGATATATCTTATATCAAGAGAGTTTTTTGGTGAAAATATTTAATCGGTTGTAATTTTTGGATATATATTTTTTTTAATAAATTTAAGTTTTCGTAGGTTTAATAGACAAAACCCCATTAAGAATTAAGCGATAATCATGTGTTGATTAACTCTAATTATATTAACAACAGTCATTATCTCATTAATTATCAATGTTGATCTAAATCCCACGTGGTCACCATACCAAATGTCCGGTCGCGCACCTGTCCAGCTCAATCACGTGACATATTCTTCATATTACGTAACGTCTCCGGAGAATTGTAACGCACGTGCCGTTACGAGTGCGATAATTGACACATAATTGATGTTAATGTGTGATGGCACATGTATTAAGTGTCTGCACTTGAGATAGTAGGCATATTTAGAGAGATTTACTGATTCCCTAGCAAGATAATCGAAGATAAAATTACTTTTACACGTGTTTGTATACTTGGAGTTAATATTGCAAAAAGATAGGATCATAATTTTATAGATGTAAGCACTTCGTCGCAGAAAACCGCGGAAGTAAATGTATATTTTGATAAGAATTGTAACGGGGGGCAACCTCTTTACATGGTTGTTTTTGTACAGTAGACTTTCTAAGGTATACAATCGAAGAAAATTAAATTGTTAGAAACAGAGAAAAGAAATTGAAATACAGCTGATAACTAGTAATCGTAATGCATGAAGCTTTTTAATATGTATTTATTATGGGAAAAAAAACAACAACAACAAAACATGTGTCTTGTAGATTTATAATGCTTGTTAACCGTTAGCTCAAGAAAATAGCTTTTGATGACACAAATATTTTTTTTATCAAATTTACGTTTTGTTGAAACAAATATTTCAATGCCGAAGATTGAATACTGGTCAAACCGGTGCTAGGGGGGATGAGAGATAATGCGTGTTTTATGTACAAACCAATCAGATCGAAAGTTTTATTACCATTTAATCTTATTCGTGTTTTCACTGCATGCGAGTATCGCCCCTATTTATATTAAAATTCAGCTTCTATCTAGAACTGGTATATAATGTTTATAATTGGATATCTTAACGTCCATAGATCACGCTGTAGATTCAGCGAAGAGTATTATACAATTATACATTATAAAGGTAGTAGACCTTAAGAGGTTACAATTATTTGCAATATGAAAAAAAGGGAAAAAAAGAACCGTGCAATGCCTCTTATAATTATATTTGTACAGACACACGGTAGTGTATTTCAAGTTTAAGTAGAAAATGGAGCAATGCTAAGTAATATTTCCGCTTAAATAATTTTACTTTAATCAATTTTATTTCTCAATATACCTTTTGAGATAATTTTGAATTTAAAGGCATACTGTTGGTATGAATTATTTTTTACTCAATTCTAAGATATAATTAAGTGAAAAATATAAAGTATTTTTTTTCTAAAGCAAAAGGCAAACATTATGTAAGCGAAACTCAATTAATTTTCGATGCCAATGAAAATATTTATTATCTACCAAAAGCATGCGCCCATGCATTTAGAAAATGTAGTGGAATTTCACCATTGGCTACACGAGAGTCGTAACATTCCCCTCCCGCTGTGACTGACAGGCGGCTGATAAGCCAAAACGGCTTTGTAGCGCTTTAGAATCTCTCTGAACTCGCGTTCTAAGATATAAGCACCGCCCACAGGTACTCGGAATATTCTTGGAATATTTTACTGTATACATTATTTACCAACTCTGTACGCACGCCGGAGATTATCTTTGCGAAGAATTTTTGGGGAATTACAATCTTAGAGTGGTTCGAGTTCCGAACGCTATGAGCGTCGACGTAATGTACCAGCCTTACACCGCGAGCTTTGGATATCAAAGAAATAATGAACATTCTATGCAGGTATATCTTCTTATTGTTTCTTATTATTTTCCGGGGACAATGTGCGCAATTTTGCATTATTTACTTAGTCATGCGGGATATTTACATTGTTGGACGCGTCGCATGCTTTTGGCCGGGGTGAAGGAATGAATTCCAATCAATTTACAAAATACACGGTAATGATTTTGTAATCAAAAGAAGAATTCTATCGCGAGGACCACATTCTCAATGGATATCTCACAAATCGAACATACTTAGAAAATAAGATAATTTATTAATAACATTATTAACATACTGCGTAAAATCGTTCATAACAAACAAACGCCAACGCGCGTCGCAAAGAAAAACGTCTTTACAAATTCTGTATTGACAAAAAGGCAATGATTATTTTAGCATCAACGTTTCATCACATGGTTATATAACTTGTAGGAAAACAATAACGTTGATCACATCCGTTCAAAACGGTTAAAGCGACAGTAATGAATGATAACATTTCTTCGTTATATTTCGGACACACTTCCTCGAAGTGTTTTCTCTTTGCAACATATTTAGACACTTATCTGTGATCACTTCCAAGGACCTCAAGTGTGACTTAATTGTCGCGTTCCTCGTTTACACGTTCAACGTGTGTTTCAAAGAACAAGATATCTAAATGTCGTAGTTACCGCCATGAACAAACGAGATTTGCTTCGCGCACTTTTAGAGATTCGAGATAACATATCATTTTATCATTAATTTCATGATTTTTGTCGGGATTTTTTCAACCTTAAACCTGCTGCACTCTTTTGTTACTGCAGATTTTTATAAATAAAAAACATGTTTGAGTGATCATGGATGTTCATTATCGCAACATAAAATCATTTTCTCTGAATAAATCTTTCTCCTTACTTTTTTTTCCTTTTCGCAAAATGTTTGCTTATCTTCAACGTGTGCATATTTTTCGGAATTTCTCGGATACCTTCGCGCGTGACATACAAATTGTATCTTTATAGATGTTTAATTTTTCCCTTCATATATATTTACCGTTAAACTCAATGAGCTTGATCGTTACATTTGGTAATAGTTTTCTTATCTCGAATTATATTCCTGCGAAGCATGATGTAACTCTAGATTATTAAGATGTTTATCTCATATACAACTTCAAAATCCTCCAATGCTTAGATCACACTTCTCTTTCAACTTTTTCTTCAACGTCACATTAATCGCCTGGATTAAATTCCGCTACCGTACAATAAAATGCAAATTATCCGTGCAAAATGATAAGGCGTTTTTTGGAAAGAGAGACTTTAAATAGGTAGAAATTTCTGGCAGTTTTGCATTCAGTATCTGATAGTTCAGAAGTGCTTGTTTCTTACCATTTGGAATTAAGTATATGAAATGTTTATTTGTATATTTTTGATACATTTGTTTGATTGGTATTATTTGTATATTTTCCAGCCGTTATGCCTTCCAAAGGCTCAGGAGCCGCTGGATTTGGGTATATATCCGTCTTCAACCAGTTCGCTAGGCCATGCTTTGCCGGGGCCTTCACTCGGCCCACACATGTCCTCCTTTGGGCTTCACAGTTCCGGATTGGGACATTCGGCACATGGAAATCTTGGAAATACGGGCGCTACACAAGGAAATATTTCTGGGCTCAAAGAAGAAGACAAAAGTGAACAACCTAAAGACACACAATATATTGGAGCAAACTGTGTTTTAATGACATATTACAGTGGGGATATAAGTTCAAATGTGGATGAACATTTTTCTCGTGCATTGAGTCAACCGAGCAGTTATAGTCCTGACGGAAAAGTTAGTAAAGGTTAGTAACGGTTTATATATTTCGTTTTTTCTTTCAAATATTTTACTTTCTACTTTGTCGAGTCCTGATTATAAATACTAAACGTTTTTGCATAAAAGCTTATTTGAAGACGACGCATTGTTCTCTACATTTGTTATATATGCCGTCATCGTACAAAAATATGTAAAACATGAGTGAAAAATATGTATTTATGATTAAAATTTTCATATACATTTGACGCAATATATTTATTTCAAAATCACCAAGTTTCAAAAATTCATTAAGGAAACAACATAAAATAGAATCGACTGGGACAAAAAAAAATTTCATGCGATTCGATTGAATAAAATGTTTCTTCGCATAAACAGACGCACCTATAATCTTTTGATAACTAAATCTTATTTCTGAATTATATGTTAGTAGAAGTTATACCACTGAAACTATATTAATAAAAATTAGCATTACAAAAATAATCGAATAATCACGAGTAAAATATACAAAAACATTGAAATAGAAAAAAAGCGCAAAGAAAATACTGATTGAAATATTTTTGACTCATGTGCGAGATTTTTCTTTCGCCCTTTACTATCTTTACGTCTTCAAAAAGATATTATTATTGGGGCTGCCGGAAAATGATAATAAGTTGTTATATAGTTTAAAACCCCGTTTAACTTGTCAAAATGGCGGAATTGACAGAAACAAATGTGTTCATTTGTCGAGGCGTAAAGCTGTTTACTTCATCCAGAACGATTCCAAGTCCTAACGTAAACAAACCTATTGTCAAAGGAACATTTAAATATTTCAGCGAAAAGATTAATAGCAACCAACTGTTGATTACCACAATTTTAAAACGTATTCCACCTTTTAAATACACAAAAAATAGTCCCGTCGAGATGTAAGATTCTATATATCATTTACAGATAAGTAAAATACGACCAAGATAATGCATTTTTCAGAAGTATGTGTAGAAAAAACTACTTAGACATCTTCATAAATTTGTAAATGCAACTGCAGTTGGTAGAAAATGGGAATTTAATGCACACATAATAAATATTTTAACGTTTGAGTAAATAATGCGCAGCACAAAGCGCAGACAAAACGAGTAAAAAAGAAAAAGAAAAAAGAAAACGGTTCTAAAAATATCTATTTTATTTATTCAGGAGAAGTTATTAATCAAAACAATATTTATACGTGATGCCACTATTATTTGTTCACTAATCATTTTGTCATTCTTGTGAGTTACAAATAATACATTGTAATAAGAAGCAGTCTAAAGAGTTGTCTATTCTCACCCAATCCGGTCGTTGTTTAGCTTTTCCTTTACCATATTTCTTTTAATGTAAACAACTAAAAAATGCGAATATGCAAAGATTATCATAATAAAATTATATATTGTACATTTTTATCCTAGCAGTCTTTTTTGTGTCTTTTTTTTCTATGAATAAACAGATATGGTTTTCTTTTTGGAGGCCATCAGATTTGTTTTTTTTCTTTTGGATTCCATCAAAGACCCGTTTTTTTCCCGTCATAATTGACAATAAAGATTTAAAGAAAATATATGATATTTATTTAGTATTAAAAGCAGTTTTCAAACTCTTTAAATAATACTTACAAAATGTAAAAAAACAACAAACAAACAGTACAAACATCCTAAATCAGTACAAGTTATAAAATAGTGTTTCTGTTACTTTCATTTTACAATGAATTTACAAAGATATAATTGACATTTCTAAAGACAAGTATTGTTTTGGATATTTCTAGTTCTATAACAACATAAAACCTCTCTGATTTTATAGTAAAAATGTCAAAAATTGTTTCGTATTAAATAACAAGATTGAAAGCTGCTTTCAACACCATTAAACTTTCATCGGTCTTGTATATGTACTCATATTTTCCCATGTCGGCAAGTAAAATATTTACTGCTTTGTTTCCACATATAACGATTTGCCTGTAAATTTTAGAGGTTTTGTTTTCGCCTGACATTCACAAGTGGTCGTGAACGCGCACTTTCTTCAGATCAACACTGAAAGAATTAATGTTCCTAAAACTAAGATGCCGTTTACCAAAACCTGCCATGTCATTTTATAAAGCTCTTTCAACGCTGTGTTTTTTCTCGCTATCATTTACCGTCGTTAATTTCACATGTTCATTTAACTTGTCACTTGTAAAACTGTTAGTTTCATTATTCTCGTAAACTGCCTTCTTCCCGCTGTTTTTAACTGTTCATAATTTATTTTATCGTCTGCAGACAAGTTTCTGTTTGTATGGCAAGCGGGTTTGTAGCGTCTGTGAGGTATCGAGCGTTTAGAATAAGCCGATGAATGGCATATAGATAGGGGCTGTCATTTCACACAACAGGTTTAAAGAATTAAGAAAGCGTAATTTTAATTAATGTTTACGCCATTACGGTAATTTGTGTGTTGTAAATTTCAGCTTTACCTATCACGGGATTAAGTAATTTGTAAATTGCTGAAACAAGTGTCAAACATTTCTGTTTTCGCTAAAATTTGTTTAAAAACAAATTAGATTCCTCCCAAATATCTGGATTTAGAAGGAATTAGATCTGTTTTCCCCGAAACAAAATTACTCGTTAAAATCTAATGCTCGGACGAAATTGTTTGTGTATTGAAATGAAATGGAAATTGTGCGTTTATTCAAGAACTGATCCAACTAAAATGAGTAAAATAATTATAAAAGCAAATACTTTTTTTTCAAATAAGCATATCAAAATTAACTTGTTATCTAATATCTTTTTTCTTCATCTGTATTTCAGATCCATCATTAATGTGTCATAGAAAATTCCCTGCATCATTTTGGAACAGTAACTATTACGGTCCAGGCTCATTCTATTCCGACTTCCAGTTCCCATCCGGACACTATTCAACTTCATCCATTCCTGGTTTCTCTGGGTTCCAAGACCCATGGTTTTCAAGATTTTCGTCGCAATCCCACACTTTTCATCATCGGCCAATGCACTATGACTTTCCATATTCTTCTATGAGTGCCAGCAGATACAATTCAAACATTGGCTCACTGTTGTTGCAGTCAGCACGCTCAGGTCATTTCCCCGGAAGTGATTACGGAAAATCAGCTGACACTAAGTTCCGTTATCCCGACTACAGACTCGGCACAGACTACCCTTCACAAAACTCATTTCCCGGTAAGACTTCTTATTTCTTTTAAAAATATATACCACTCAGTAGCCAAGCATGCATTTCCACTAAATCATTACTTTTTTATGTTTTAAAATGGGAACAAAACCCTATTCAGGACTGGGAAAGATTTGAAATAATAAGATTTAATGAAACTACCAAAAACGTTTCTAAAAAAAGAATTGCCTTGTCTGTATATTATATTGTCAGTATTGCATTTATATAAAAACAGTTGAAACTTTTAAGATGCTGTATCATTCTATATCACTTATATAAAATATCGAAAAAGCAATGTAAAAACAACTGGGAATAATCGTGTAGTGTAATGTTGGCAAATTACACACGTCTGCACAGATTGATGACAAAAATAATTATTGTAATCGGGAAACAATCAATTGTTAATCTCTGGCCAAAGATTCATTATCTGCTACATATATTTCAGTGATAACAACAGCTCTCTAATCCAATGCAGCAGTAACAAGAGAACTACTTTCTCTGCACATGTGCTCAGTGCACACAGTCTATATATCAATGCGCCATATCCTAAGCTTAATGTTCAAATAACTCATCTTCATCGCCAATAAATGATGGGTTTTTGTGATTGGTTGTTGAAAATATGCTTCTGTTATTATTGCAAACCATCTGTGCATGGTTCTAGCGCCATGGGTGAACGATTGTTATTTTACGATAATTGTTTTATGGCCTGGCATATGAACGATTTTCCAAAATTGTTATGGTCAGATTTTGACCAAAGCCGAAATGTGATTCTTCAGAACATACCACAGAGATTAAACTCACATTTTAAAAACCTGTTAACGAAATAGTGTTCTTATTATATTTTCCTTTATAATTGAAGGTTTGGAAGCAACGGCAACGGAGACGACGGCCGGTCGAGATCTTTATCTATACTGATAAAAGGAACCAATGTGCAGACACGGCAATTTAACTGTCAGTAAAATCAAAGGTTTCACATGTTATCGTCTTACAAACGATGATGATATTGAAGCAGAAATGAAAAAGACAACTTAAGTATAAGTTAGCCCGAACGGACTTTGTAATGCACTGCAAAGGGTTTCAAGATATAGACATAGTACTTCAGCTGTATGATATATTTCTTAACTCTAAACGTATCATATAAGTGTGAATGCTGGATGCATGTTCTAGCAAAGGCGCTGTCACATCAGCTGAGACAAATGAAATGTTGCAAGAACAGGGCTTTTACTGTATGTTCCTAAATTACGTGTTGACCTATAAGAAAAAGTAATGATAATCACGGTTTAAAACACGACACCTGTATTTGAAATACTTATTTAATCTGTACATTTACATAGTTTTTCAGTTATATACTATGGTTATATAAAGAAGCAAATGCGCATGCACAGATTTGTATGCATATGTTGTATGATACGATTCATTTTAATATGCATGTATTATAATTATAATACTATGCAATATGAATGTATTTGTTGTGCTTTGGACAGCAACCATTGATTGAAATGTGTGCATGTTCTTGTTCACGTCAATAACATTAATTCTAAGTGTGATAAATGATAAAATTATATATATATATAAATTGTACATATGTAAATTATATGACATTGTTGATAGAGTAAATTATAAATAAATATATGCAATAATATACATTTTGGTTGTTTTTTTTAACAAATTTGTACAATTCTTTGAGCTATATATATTTTATCTTCACGTTCTGTCTCATGCATTTAGTTGAAATTTTATACTTCTTTGAAACTCTACAGTTAAAGATATCATTTTTATGTACCTAAAACTCGGTATTTGCTAATCTAAGAAAACGTATCTTAAATCGTTCACTGAAAGTGTAGAACTATGATATGGTTTAGATGTTGAACAACAACAAGGGCGCAGCAATATGCAAATTACTTAAAAAATAAAAGTAGTTTTCAAACATCATATTAGGTATTATTCTAAACATAATTTAGACGTAAGCTAGCATTTAGGATGGTTGACTCACAACTGATAAGTCAGTTAGGGGGACATTATAAGATGCACTTGATACTTTACCTACGGTAACGCACATTTACCCTTTAACTTTTCTGAGTTAAGCAAATGCTTGATGTTTATAGTTCATTTCACTTTAATAACAAATCTAAAAAATAGTTAAACCGTTTCATACTAAATGAAACACATCTTATAAATAATATATAAGTCTATAATATACTAATCATGAAAATGCCATATTGACTACGTTCTGTAAAACGACACCAGTTTGGATTAATAGTATACTAACAATATGTGTACACCATTGGAGATTAAAAAAAAAACATATCACAGAATAAATGTTACGAGGTCGAACTGTGACAAATCACAGCATTATTTGCACAGAGAAATCAAATATTATCCCAAGAATCTGCCAGAGATTGAGTCAATATGCATTGTGTTGTGCTGTTTTGTTTATATGCTCAGAGTTCTATTATTTTGATCTCAAATTCAAAGTAAAAAATACCTGATTAGGTATTGCATGTACAGCAACACCTTTTATATTTTGCTGCTTGCAGTTACAAAAGTATGTTAACCAGAAGGAAAATACTGTTTTGAAGTTTAAGAGTTTTGCGACCTATCTAAAGGTTTCTGGAACAATGATCAAATATTCTGCCAGTAGTGGATTCATTATTGTTTAATATCTTAAAGAACTTCTTCAATCAAAGGATCACACTTGTCTTTAAGCAAAAAAAGGGATTTGTTGTGTGGCTTGTGCATCATCTAACTCTGGAAATTTAATCCGTCTGTAATTTTGAATTGAAACAAAAAATGTCTTCAGGGTGTTTCACTTTAAGAATCTGTCTAGCATTATTATGCTTTGTATTTGCTGTACCATTTGATGTTTCAGATGAATTAAACGTACATAATAAAGGTTAAAATGCGAGTTTAAATTGGGGAAAAATATGAAAATTAAGTAAACAAATGTATTTAATGAATCAAAAATATTTTCACACTTGCGACAAGAAATTGTTCGGAATGCAGAAATAGAGCAACACAATAAAAATACAGAATATACCATAATCTTAAAAAATCAAAACAAATTAGCATCGGAAGTCGTGGGCCGAAGAAATACTTATATAAGTTAAGGAGGAAGAAAGAAAATAAACAACTAAAGCAAAACAAAGCAATTTGGTACACCTCTTACAAAATTGTATACACAAACGGATAGCTCAAATACTAGTTAGTAATGCACACAGAGGGGCACATCTCGCACTCAAAGGAAATTAAAAATTATCCAACCATTGCTAAATTACTGCGCACTGTAGTTAAGTATTGGGAACGGATGTTTGGACGGCAATATATATGATTTGGGCGTTTCTCTTTTTCCAGTTTACTAAACCAAGATCAATTTGAACTATGTTTCGTATATTTATTCGCTTTTGATATTTTATGGAGGGGCAGTGATCATTTTATGTGGTGTATTTCGTGTGGGCTGCTAACGCCGGATGTTTAGTTCGTTTATTTTTTCAGAATGAATAGCAAAAGCGAGCTAAAGGTGATGGTTCCATTTATCATGGAAACGTAGGACAAGGTTCTGTTTAAGAAATGTCTCAAAACGTGGACACTTATAGCCATGCTTCACCACATGAATGCTTTGTAACTTTTTAATTCGTTTTAGCCTCGAGCTACATTTTGGATACATATCAAATTAGGTAGATACAAACTGTAAACAATATAACATTAATAACAAGCTTAGCAATTAACATAAACTGGGATCACTCTTCAAACGTTTTGAACAAGTGCGCTATACTTAAGATTAGCGGTGCCTTAATCCATTTAATTACTGTTTAAATTAATGCCATGCATTTATCACGTTGATTTAGGAAAGAATTTTGTCATTAGTATTTTTCTACGGTTTAATTTTTGTTATTATGTTATTATGATACTTAAACAAGAATTAGCGAATATTTGTCATTCTATATCATGTTTATAAAATCATTCTTGCAGGGTAATGTGAAACAACTGGTTAACGGTTTGGGAGCAGACTTTTTCATCTCGGTGAAACTATTTGTAGAATTTCTTATAAGTTATAATCTAAGAGCTCGGGAATTTTATAATACTTTAAATCCCTAATGAACTCGGGTTTCATTTCGTCGTATTCAATAAAACAAGGTTTAATGCGTTGTAGGCGGGCAATTTGCTCGGCTTAAAAACCGGTTGCAGCTCTCTGGAGGTTTCCTCGTATTTATGAGCCATGCATACACAGTGTAAGGTGGATTTGATTGTAGAGTTTGACATTTTTATTACCAGCTCATGAAAGATTCAATAAAACTTTTCTTTAAGAATGCGCGTTTATTAATAAATCATACTTATAGATATTGCAGTTGGAAGGGGTTTATTGCGTTGTTCTGCTAAAGAAGGACGACAAGGTTACCCTGTTGATAACATTGCCGTTCATCAAATATTCAATTGTAAAAATATACGATAGTGCTTTTGTGAGTATTGTGTATTGTCACTTTTGTTTGATAAAATATGTTTCCATTTATAATCCAATTTTATTCTGGTTGCAGAGTTTGACATAAAATAAGAAAGAAAGTATTTACTGAAAGGAATAATATTGTATATAGTAATAATGGTTGAATACATGCATATTAGTTTCTATATCTATCTGGAAACTAAAATACTATATGAATTATTAAGTACTTTTGGAAAAAAGGACGTATTTGTTCTTGAGTTTCAAAATAAAACATTTATTGTTTAAACAAAGTATTCACATACACATGTCAAATTGTTCAAACAACACTTACTACAGCAACGCAAAAATGTATAGCACACTGTTACATAAAACAACTGAACCATTCATAAAAAATACTATTTTCAAAACTTTGTCTTCTTTAATACACTTATTCCAACTTAACATTTTTTAAAAATCTCAACAAAAAAGTTGCTTGTTTATTTAAATCTGCATATTCTCAAGTACTCATGTTATCTTATGTCAACGCATGGTTTCAACAAGTTTTCCGACGCGCGTCTTAATTTACATGAGGTCTAACACGGAAGGTTAAATGATACTTTAAAACCTTGTTAAATCGCTCCTAGTCACAGTTTGAAAGCATTAACGGTATATCACCTAGTAACATTTACACGCATGTTTCAACAGGTTGCATTTGTTGGCAGTAGCAATAAAGTAGCGTCAATAAAAGTTTCAAAAAAAGTTGAGGTTTTTATTCTAAATAAAAAAAAGAACAACAAAAAACAAAAAGAAAGGAAAATACCGAAAAGGAGAACACTTTAAAGTGCAAAGGTACTAGAATTAGAATAATATTAATAAAATGTATAAAAGCGTTTTATAAGAAAGAATAAAACTCTTATAACAACGAAAATATAATTGAAACATTAAACAAGAGTTAAATTGAAAAATAATAATTTTGCGGACTAAATGTTACTATTTCACAATTAATTAATCTCCACCATTTTTTTCTACAAAATGAATTGGTCCGTTATGAAAGGCATGTTATACCATGACTAAGTATGTTCATAGTATTTGGTATTATACTTGAAAACAGTCTATGAAATAAATATATATTTAATTGATATTAATGGTAAGTGTGAGAATGAAATATCTTTATATAGCAGATAATGAATTATTTATTCTATAAACATTATATCAGTCAAAATATAAATGTCCATGCTTAACCACTAAAAAATCTATCAACATTATTTTCAAGACCCATTTTATAAGAATATCCGAATTACGGAAACAGTAGCAAATTACACATGCAAACGCAGGAGAACCTAATAAGCACAGTAGTAAAATGATTTTGACATAAAATAATTAGATCAATTGAATATATAAAAACAAAATTTTATATAAAAATAGCTCAGACATAAACGGCATTTTGATTTCAATTAAACTTTGAAAATATCGGCGTCAAAGGCACGAATTACGAATGGAGTGTTGATCAAAGACACATCCCATGTTCATTTCATGGAAATTTTGCTGAACATTACCAATCTAAAAGCGTGTGATAATCGATAATTAATCGTCACTCATCGACGTCGAATTAACCGATAATCAGCACTTTTGATCTATCGATAACGTCAATACACGAAACAGATTCCGGATATTTCAACAAGCTTTTACATGTTTTATATCAGCTTCATAATTTTCAACTTGTCAAATTTTTAACAGTTCTAGGAATCAATTTTGATAAATGAGATTAGTGATTAGTGCGTGTGCAAAATGGTTCGATTTCATAAATTTTGTATTAAGATTATGCTAAATATAAAAATGAAAAAAAATGAACTAGAGTGTTTTTTTGTTTTTTTTTTGTTTTTAGGGTCAAAACATTAATTACCTTTGTGAGTAATTGCAGCTTTATTTACGTTAAAACAAATACTTTTATATAACAAAAGTACTCGTTTTAATAAAACAAGAGTTAGGTTTCGTTGTCTAAATATACGTAACATACATATTTATGTAGGATGATAAGCATTTGTAATATAAAATATTTCAATAATTTTAATTCATTTCATTTCGTTTTATTGAAAAATCGACAATTAAACATCATCTTTGGCCATTCACAAAGAATCATGACAAAGATGGTCAATATTTTAACATGTAGAAACATTATATACATGTAATGAAATAAATATTTGTATAGCAAAAAGAATACATGA